CATCATTAAATATATTTAGGACAACTGAACAAGACTATATTTCTAAAATTATATAAATAAAATGACCACAAAAAGAACAACAAAAGTAACAAAAAACGACTTCTCACTGAATGTTAACAGTACATGTACATTTCCTCGAAATTAGGATTTTTTGGGTTGGTTGATTTTCTTTCAAAAACAATAAATAATAGGCACCATTACATTATTATTCAATTTTTACATCTATAGAACGATTTATTGTTCATCAATCCAAGAAAATAACTTAGTATTATTCAAAAATTGTAAAATATTTCAAAATAATAATTTACCCATTTTAAGTCGAACATAATTTCAGTTTAGAAAGAGGAGAAAGTCACGATTGAAGACGAGGAGGAAAATAATGAAGATAGCCGAAAAGGAAGATTATGAAGATAGTCGAATTTTTAGATTTCTAAGGAAGAAGAAGAATAAAAGAGAGAATCCTGAAAGAATTTTTTTTTTGAAAAAAATTATTTGGATTGAATTTAGGAAAAACTACATAAAATGGCAAACTATATTTTATATTAAAATAATATAGCTATACTTCCATAAATTTTTATTTTATGACTATATTTAATTAATAAATAGCAAATAAGTATTAAATAGCAAATAAATATTAAATTATCCTAAAAAATATATTATATGCCCCTAATTTAAGGAAGTATTCATTCCATATTAATTGATCTTTCACGCCTCACGTTTCTCTCTCTATAATATAATCCCATATCAATTACATTCCATATTAATTGATCTTTCACGCCTCACGTTTCTCTCTCTATAATATACTCCTATATTAATTAGTATTACTCACGTAATTAATTATGTTCCTATTTTAACGTTTTTATTCCTTCTATAATAATTATGGATGTATTCCTTCCATAATTTTGCATGCACGCCTCCATTAGTATTACTTACATAATTAATTTTTTGTTTCTATTTTAACGTTTCTCTTTCTTCCATAATAATTGTGCACATATATTATGGATGTTTATCTCTCTATTATTTACAACACGCTTATCTTCCATTAAAAAGGCCTATTTTCACGTTAATTCCAAGAATCCCATTTTTCAGCCTTTTACTTTATCTCTTAAATCCTACCAAAAATTTGATTTCTTGATTAGTCTTTATCCCAAAATCAAATTTACCATAAAATTCTTAATCAATTAAATCTCTATCAAGCTTCCACGAAATTAGGTTTGTATTTTTTCAAATCAAATAGCAACATTGCTTGATTTTTGGAAATATTTATGTTGCTTAATATTTATTTGTTTTTAATTTTTTAGGATATGGGTTGTTGAATATAATGTCTAAATGAAATACCACAAGGATAATCACAAGAGGTACAAAATTCATTACATAACATGGTTGAAATACCATCTTTTGACCTAGGTATAACTCAGATTAAAACACAAATTTCAGGCTATGCTGCTGCGATGGAATTACATAAGAAGTCGAAAGATGAAATAGTAAGGACTCCTTCAAAAAGAAAAGTAGGGTCAACGGTGAAAGCGATTGAAAAAAATTGTTACAAGAGGAGGAAAGTAAAAAATGTAGTTTCCGACATGATCGGAGAACATGCAGTTAATTAAGAACAAAACGAAGTCAGTGAAGAATTAAAGGTATGTACATTTTTAATTTTTTTAATTTTTTTGAATAATTTTTGCATATGTACATGCAGTGTACTTTGATTCGTAAAATTTACTTAAATGAATATAGTTTTTTATTATGATATAGTATTTATGTTGTTGAATGGTGGTAACTGTAATGTAGATATATATATGCATTTAATTTTGTAAAAAGTACATAAGTGGATACATCTTGTATGAGAGCTTTTTGAGTGAATGTAGGCAGTGATGTAATGTATAAAGGTTGATGTAATGTATGCAGGTTGCATGATGTAGTGATGTATATTGTGTTATAATGTAATGTAAGTCGAACAACAAAGGTTACGTTGAGTATATACCAAGAAAGTTTATTAGTAGTTTTTCCTTTTTTGAATGTGTTATCTTTTATAATTACAGGGTATCAGATTCCATTTATTGGCTCGCCCAATTAAACCACCACGCATGCAGGTTTATGTGAACCATAACATAGTCACAGATTTGAAGGGGAAGCTTACAGCGACCCAATTCAATCATTTTAAAGATACATGTTTTGGAGCATATACAAAAATGCACGTGTGTGGAGCGCCACCACAAATGCTTAGGTGTTTCATGGTATGTGAATTAGAGGACAGTTCCCCTGATGAATTGTTGTTTCATATAAATCATACCACGCTCAATTTGCTATCATTACTGGTTTGAACTATTTTGGTAATAAAGATGATTTTTTATTTGATACAAGGAAGCCAAATAGATTAATCAATCAGTATTTTGAGGGGAAAAGTATTGTTACAAAAGTGAATTTGATCAGTAAGTATAAAAAAAAGGTTTGGGGTGGCTATGATGATGATGTTGTTAAATTCGCTATTCTGTATTTTATTTGTACGTTCATATATTTTGGCGAGAAGAAGATCTCATCAATTCCAAGGATACATTTTGATCTAGTTGAAAGCGGTCGGTACCATGAATACCCCTGGGGTAAAGATGTTTTCTACAAATTTCTCAAAAGCGTATCAAAAAAATGGATGAGAAGAAAAAGTATTATAGAATTGATGGTATGCCTCTAGCCATGCAAATTTGGATATATGAATGTTGTTCTGCGGTTGATTCGAATATTGCTGTAAAGAAGATCAATCGTATACCCAAAATCGTCAATTGGATGACCAGAAACAGCAGAATACATTATGAATTCCTCATGGAAGGAATGTTCAGTGATAACGGCAATCCGGTAATTTAACATATTTTAATTAGTCAATTAGTATAGATTTTGTTGTATTTCAATATAATTTTTAATTATAATTATTTTCTGCGCAGTTAAAATTCAAAAACATCGAACCTTCACTTAAGGAGATTGCATTTTATCAGCTTGAATCAAAAAGTACTGCAAACACAAAGAATACCTTTCAAATTGTTAGTGACAAAGATGACGACAAAGATGATGATTTCACTTCAAAACCTCCAAGTCATAAGCCACACAATAAAGAAAAAGGTAAACAGAAGGCATATGTTTTAAGATCCACATTGATCAAAAAGTCCAATTTGCATTGCATGCAGGTTTGAGGTTGAAAGATAAACGCCCCACAGTATTGAATGATTGTCGTAAGGCAAAGAGTACAACTTTAAATTCTGATTCAAATCCATTGGAGGATAATGTATCAGTACAAGAGATGCATAATTGTCCGGATGATTCTGCTAACCGTACACCACCAAGGAGTTCGAAAGAACCTCAAGATACCAAGGCAGATGAAATTGGTTTGCTGAGACAAGATCTTGCATCCTTCAAGAATTATGTATGCAATATGTTCTATTTTTTTTAGTTCACATTGTATTCCAATATAAACTTACATTCTATTTAATAATCAGGCTAATAATGAGTTCAAGGAGTTTCAATTGTTTATAATGGGGAATTTTAGACAAGTTATGGATGTACTTAATAGAAGCTGTCGTGAATCTGGAGCACCACGTCAGGTTAATTATGACAATATTAAATTAATAGAATACATTTACATATACAAGTTACTTACTTATAATATCTCATTTTCTAATGGATAAAATACACAGGAAGATGCAACTGAATATCCAAGTCATGTACCTAATTGGTCGAACAACAATCAGATATCAAATGTTATGGACAAGCCTCACTGTGATGCAAACGAGGTACTATTTGAATAAATTATTTTTTGATTAGTTAGTAGTTGAAGGTGAAAAATGTCTACAAATAATAGTTTTTATTGTAATATTGTTAGGTTCGGACACCTCGTTTCGTTCTTCAAGAACATGTCAAAATTAATGTCAAGGAGTATTTGCAGCCTGTTCAGATACACATACAAGACCCTTTGACGGTACATGAACAGCCTAACGACATTAATGTATTTCAGAATCATGACATCCAACAACCTCAGTCACAAATTGAGTTGATAGATGCTTTGTTACCTGATATTGATGCAATCAAACCCAAAAAGAATGATGTGGTTCATTCAGAGGTTGTGGTCCATCCAGAGGGTGTCGTTTATGATACTACACCCGTGCCAGTTAAAAGGAACAGACATCCTGATCGATTGTCAGGAGACGGTAATGTAATTCAGAACGACGGAATCCAACAACCTCAGCCACAATTTGAGTTGCTTGATGCTTTGTTACCTGATATTGACACAATATATCCCAAAAAGAATGTTGTGGTTCATTCTGAGGTTGTGGTCCGTTCAGAGGGTGGCGTTTATGATAATACACGCGTGCTAGTTCAAACTATCATACATTCTGATCAATTGATTTGCTCTCCTTACTCCACAAATATTGGATCATCATCTGGTAAATAACAATGTTTAACCTATTTAGTGTCTTACCTGCCCCCTCCTAGTTTTTTTTTACATATACGATTCTATAACAATCGTAGTGCCTAATACATATATGTGATGTTTGGCAATTTGATATAGTTCATTGTGTACCATAATTAGTAGTACATATTGTAGTTCAGTAGGTACCAGAATGGAGTAACATGAATGATTAGTTTTGGATTTAGGTTTATCTGTTGGTGGTGGTTTCAGAATTGTTTATCGAACATGACAAGTAACAGTAATAGCTAGATTCAATGTGAATAGTATGCAGCTCAGAGATGATCTTTTGCAAAAATATGTTTGTTATAATTTGTGTGTCTGTATACTAAATATTTCAGGTAGCTCTTATGACGTGGTTAAAACTTATGAAAAGAAACATCCTTTTGTTTCTGACTTCAGATCTTTTCGACGATTACTGTTTGTGGCTTTCTGAAGGGCTTCTTGCTAGCCATATGAATAAGTAAGTATACATAATATTCATATGATGATTATTTAAACATAATATACTTAAATATTAATTAATTTTATTTGTTATCAAAAGGATGCATGATGAAGATCGGTATAAGAATAAAAAAGCAAAACTGGCGGTTGATATGGATTTGGGTATTCATCGAATATCAAACAAGAATTGGTTCTACTCTCTGTCTTATGATAAACAACTGTTAAATGATGAGGTAAACATATGAATTTAAACATAAAAAGTAGTATAAGTATTGTTCATATTTTTAAGATGTGCTAATTTTCTACATTTGTTTTTTAATTGTTTACAGCATATTGATGTGATCATGTATTACTTGCGTAAAAAAAGTAAATACAACATCAATAGTCTCTACAGATACACTATTGTTGATTGTATATTCAAGTCAAAATTTCTGAAATTTATGTTGCATATGCTCAAGTTGGAAGTAACTTTTGTGTTGCAAATGTTGAAAGCGCCATACGTGATTACATAAAAGGATATAGGTTGATGGCTGCCATTCCATGGAATACAATCGACAATGTGTTCATACCAGTGAACGTGGAGCATAAAAATCACTAGGTGTTGGTTGTTTTGTCATTAATTGACAAACACATTTATGTATATGACTCATACAGAGCAGCAGGTCATAACTATCATGTTACAGAAGAAATTCAAAAGCTTGGTCAACTTCTGTCAATGTATGTTTCAATGGAGATTGGAAATGATTCGGATGATACAGAAGATAACCACTTTGCATACGACGTGACGTGTGTGGAGGATATACCTCAACAAGGATCAGATTTTTTGTAAGTATAAAATAAATCTCTTCGTTAATTTTCCTAAAAAGTATCAGATTTTAAAAAGTAATGTATATTTTCAGGGATTGCGGGATATATTTGCTAGCATTTGCCGAGTACCTAAGTGAGGGTGAAGGTATTCCAGTTAAGTATCTTGATTCTAAGTTACACCGCATCAGATACGGTGCACTCTTGTAGGAATATGCAATGAAAAATATGAAAGACGGGGCTGTTAGCGATAATGAGGCACCACCAAGAAGAATGAGGACACCCACAAGGATCGATAATAGTCAACTTGTTGTGATTGATTAGTATTTTGTACTAGTTCTATTTTTTTTGAACTTATGGTAAAAACTAATATTTTGATTTTTTGTCAAACATTAATCTACTTTTCTTTATATTCATATATGATCACATTAGTTGTTTTAAATTTATTTCTGTGTTATTTCATAATTAATGAGATGATCATGGCTTGCCATCATTTGGCTTTGGCATCGGTGAATTAGTCAATGGCTTATCAGTAAAAAATTAAGTGACCCCATTTTTACATGTATAAACATGGCATCCATGCACATAACGACGCGATCCCACAAACAGTTTTTAACAGTGTACATATTGAGAATCAATGTCAAAATACATATACACTTATACCAAAGAAATTGATTCCAAAATTTGTATCATTTTTAAAAGTAATACTTACATAAATAGCTATACTTACATAATTGATATCTTATTTAATAAATATTTTAAAATATTCAAAAGGCAAATAACTCATCATTCCTTTATTCAAAATAACAAAACTTAACTACAAGAACAATTTAATAGTGTCATGTAACAATTTCTAAGCATTTCGTGTTGCAGTTCGACATGAACGCCTATTATGACCTTGTTGTCCACATGTACTACAAGAATTGGTACCCTTCCTTTTGCTCAACTCGCTAAATGACTTTTCACGTTGCTTTTTTGTCCTTCCTAGAGGTCGATTGAATTTTGGTGGCAACACAACTTCGGTAGCAATGTGTTCAGGTATGTTCCATTCACCTTTGTCAGGTAGAGGATATATAGGGACTCCATATGTTTTCAATATTGTTCCTCGCTTGTCGCGCCCCATTTTCGCAGAAAACGGGTTTTGTGCACGACCTAACAACTCTTTTGGGATTTTCGAGTTTGGAGTCGCCACCTAACGAGTTAAGGCGCGTTAGGGCACCTATCTAACCTAACTAAGTCTAGCTAAGGTCAGCGAGCCAGAGATTAGGGTAAGGGTTCAAATTACCTCGAGGGGAAGGTGTTAGGCATCCCTCGAGGTCCACAAGCATGGGTCCCGGCCGTATCTCATGCAATCTATGTGGGGGTTACAAGTAACAATCAAGGTCACTTCATTATTATTCATTAATATGCTTGCTAAGTGATAACAAGTATAAAACAATTAAGGCTATCTTATTAATTTAAACATGCGAGGCTAGGTGACAGCAATAATAAACAATCAAGTTTATTTTTTATTTATTTAACATAAGAGGCTATGTTATAGACAAAATTGGCAAATATTAAGCAATTAATATGTGCAAAAGTAAAGTTTGAAAATTGAGCAAGTTTGAATATGTAATTTTTATTTTTAAAAAAATGTTTGTTTCTTTATAGGGACGATGCCACGATATTGTTGATCGCACTCCTCCACCATAGAAACAATTTTGATTTGAGGTCGGTCTTAAAAAAACAATAGTTTATATTTTTGAAAAAAAATGATTTAAAAGATCTAGTTTACATATAGGCACATAAATATTTACATATAAATGCACATAATTCCTTTTGAAATTAGTGGGTAGGTGGTACGTCCGGGGACGCGTCGGGTTTAAAAATTGGAACTAGACCTCGTAGTTCCTTTAACTTTCCCACTAACGATAGGTTAGGAGATAGTGCTTATAATTTATTTTCAAAACAAACAATGTCAAAATCAATCCAAAGTTTTAAAAGAAGATTGAATAATGACTTTTTAAGAAAATTATGTTACAAGGTTTTGATATGAAATATTTTTAAAGCGAAGTTAAATGCATGAAATGATTCTAAATTAGTATTATTAAAAAAAAATATATTGCATCATGAATGAGGAAGACAAATAGAATTAATATTGACCATTTTATGGGGAAGGACACAAATATGCACAAATAAATTTTATTTTTACGGATATGTTAAAAGTTATTTCAAGCCTATAGACATGAATTTCTAAGTGTTTAAAAGAAGGAGTAACACATATATGCATGATTTTGTAAATGATATGAACAATTTAATACTTAGGCATAGTTTCCACGTGATAAGACAAATGAGAATTTATAATATATTTTTAACATCTAACAACCTACTAGATTATTAGGATTTGATTTTAACATTTAAAAAATTAATGGAATCTAGTTCTTATTATTTTTTTTTAAGACTTATTAACAAAAGCGTCAAGCAAATTGAAAATTGATTAGATTATAACACCTACAAATATCAAATCTAGGTGATTAAAGACAAACCTATAGGCATGATTTCTAAAAATTTATAATGAACAACTAGGCATATAAATCTCCCTCCCCTAAACGACCCCCCAAATAAATTTATTATATGATCTTTAGAGTTACAATTGTTACAACATTCGAATAAATAAAATAGGCAAAAAATAATATATATATATATATATATATATATATATACACATTCAAATAAATAAATAAATCTTTCTTCAATTAATCTTCAACTTGAACTTCAAGTTTGAAACCTGTCAAAGTAATCAAATAACGGTTGAGCAAAACAAATTGATTCACCTTTTACTCGAACAAAGTAGCAAAATAGCGAAGAACACTAGAATATTTATCGGAATATTAATGTGTTGTTAAAGTAGCAAGAGAGTAGTGAAAGAAGAGAGAGTGATGAGAGAAATTTTTTTGATTGAGAGTGAATGTGTGTCTATGAATAAAAGGAGTCTCTTTATATAGTAGAGGAGGGGGAACAAATAAGGGAAATAAATATTTCAAGGAATCAATCATAATACAATTTTCCTTATTTTAAAGGATATCCAAATCAGAAAATATGTTAATATATTTCATTACCAAATATAAACAAGTAAGAATAAATTAGTAAATTTAAAAATAAGAAAATCAATTAAACTTATTCTTATTTTAAGAGCCAAATCAGATTATTAAAAAAAATACTAAACTTAAGCAAGAAAGAATTAGGAAGAGCAATATATTTTCCTTAAATAAAGAAGAACCAAAAAATTATTTTACTATATACAAACCAGTTTAAAGTCTTATTACCCAAGCAAATCAAATAAGGATATTTTTACTAAATCACTAATATATACAAATTGACAGAATTTAAGAAAAGGAATAGTTAAGGAATCAATTAAATATTTTTTCTTACTTCCAAGGAGCTAAAATCAGATTTTAAAATTACTATTATTATTCTACCAAATATGAGCCACCAAATAAGACAAGGGACATAAATAAGGTTGCCATAGACAAACAAATAAGAACTAATCAAACCAAATATTAATACAAAGGAGGGATTGGTTATATTTCTAAATAAGAGAGCATGAAACAACTATTTTTTAAGTGAATAAATATTTTTTCAAAGAACAAACAAGTAAAAAAAATTGCTAATTTTACTGAATGACCTAAAACTTGACTTAAGCTTATTATAACATGTATGAAAAGTGATAGAATAACATACTTACAATTAGTAACATTCATGAAAATAAAATATCCAAATAAACATTGATCCTTTATCGAATAATCTACAAGCTAGATTTACAAATTAACAAATAAGGGGAACAATATGCAAGGATCGAAATTAATGGGCAGATTCTAAACCAACTTAGTGAACTAGACACTAGAAAATTAACATAAACAACAATTAAATAATTTTCAATACCAAAATTTAAGTATACGGATCAACGCATATTTCAAACATCATAAGTTATGATAAACATATTAGAATAATAGCAACATGTGATCAAACCCAAAATTAAAAAAGAGTTGGATAAATAAAGTAATAATTAATTTAAAAAATACCAAAGACTGATCTGTTGAGATCAATCACATGACCTAAGGCCCGAATATCGTCGGAGCTTGCTGTTGCGCGGCTGGTTTCTCGCTGTTCGCCGCCGGAGGCTGCTTGGTTGCTGACAGGAGGCGCTGGTCGCTACTACGGTCGTCCTCGCCTGGATGCTAGCACCTGCAAACAAAAGAAGAAGAGAAAATAGACGAGGAGGGGGAAGAGAAGAGACGGGAGGGGAAGAAAGAGGAAGAGGAGAGAAAGAGTGGGAAGGGGGATGACGGGAGAGGGGAGAAGAAGGAGAGAGGAAGAGAATGGAGAGGGAGAAGAGAGAAGGAGGAAAGGCGGCTTGGAGAAAGAGGGAGAAGAAAGGGGTGGCGGCTGGTCGGAAAAGGGAGGAGGAGCCACGGGAGAGGGAGGAAAACGAAAGGGAGAGACGCACGCTGCCGGCGACGGTGGACTGGTGGTTGACGCCGCCCGCTGCTCGTCTGGCGGCTGTTGTTGTTTCGTTCGGCTGTCTCCCTCGCCGGAAAAAAACGGAGGAGAGGGAGAGAGAAGGGAGAAGGGAGGCGGCTGCTTGGAGAGAGGGGAGGGGAGGAAGAGAGAAGGTGAGGAGAGGAGAGAGAAGAGCAGCGGTGCTGCTTGGCTTCCGTCCGGCAGTCTCCTCGCCGGAAAAAATGGAGGAGAGGGAGAAAGGCGGCTGGAGAGAGGGAGAGAGGGGCGTGGCTGGTGAGGAAGGAAGAGGAAGAAGGGGCGAAGAGAGAGAGAGAGAGAGAGGAGAGGCGGCTGAAAGAGGGGGGAGTAGAAATTTTAGGTTTTGATTTCTTAGTGTGTTGAAATCAAGAAGAAAAGGGAATTTAATCACAACCGTTGATTAGATAGAGATAGAGGGTTAGGATTAGATCTAGGAATTAATTAAGATGGACGGATGAGATCAAAAGATCAAATCTTGATATTAGATTGGCAAAGATATAGAGTGGCTAAAATTGCAATTAAAATTGGCTAGAATTGAAAGGAAGAGATGGCTATGATTGTAATAAAATTTTAATTGGAATGGCTAGAATTGAAAGAAATTAGAATAAAATAGGCTAGAATTTAAATAATTTTAAGGAAAGAAAATAGGATTTTCAGTTACATTTAAATTCCAATGTATTTTTGTATTTTTTTTTAAAAAAAAATTTAGCCAACTTTTTAAACAAACTGTAGCTATTTTTTTTAAATATGATAAATATAATCATCTCAATCTAATAACCCTCGAACAATAGCTATTTATGTAAGTATTACTTGAATTTATCGGACCCTTATCATTTTGTCACCGAAAAC